TTATTATATGATGTTGCTGTATGTCATTTTAAGAGTGTATCAAACACTACTATTGAACTAAAGACACTGAAGTAATAATGCTGCCTTCATGTGCTATCGGAAATATCCTTCTTCCCACTTCTGAAGTCATAATTACAAGTAGGTCACATTCAAGTGCTTTGTTGTCAGAAATATAAAACCCAAGTTTATTGTAGCATATTTTAAATTAAAATATATGCCATTATCTCAGTATAAAAGACTAATATCCATCAGATGGTCCCGAATACAGTTATGTGTACATAACCAAAATAGAAACCGTTAACAGGTTGACTGTATTTAGAAAAATATAAAACTTACAATTTGTTACAGAAACTGTACTGTTCTCCGCCATTTTGAAAATGTATGGCTGTGTTTAGAATAGCACACTAACTTACTGCTTACTGCCCAGTACATAGTGCACACTGCCTACTATTTTTTCAGAATAGTGTAGGGTTGTGACGGTGAGGAAAGTTTGTGGGAGTTCGTTGGAGTTTTCCCCCTTTTCCTCACTTTTCTTCGCTTTTAAATAGTTTGTAAATGCCTGTGCGCATTTTACTTTTACTTTCGAATTAGCGTCAATTACTTGAATGGACAACAACAAAACAGTACAACGACAAACTCACTTATATTAAACATATACACCATGCTATAGGCCTAATATGAAATAACAAATAACTTACACAAAGTTTAAATATAAAAAACTGAAAATCAGCAAACACTGTGGAACCAAATAAATAAGAAACAGGCGCTTTTGCATTTCGTTTGGAAACTAAATCTTCCGCCATCGTCTTGTCTTTCTCACCTCACTCTTCTTGTCAGTCAGCTCTCCTCACTCTCCTCACGTGATAAATTAAATCTGACTCCTGTTGCTGATCTGTGATGCGACTGTCGTTCGGCACAATGCATTGAGCAGCCGCGCTCAGTTTTAATTGTAGTGTCCGTTCTCTAACAGAACTAAATGATTTTTATTATTATAAAAAATCTAAACGACGGTGGGGGGCAGTGCCGCGGTGGGCAAGTGACTTGCAGCTTAACACCGTCAACACCGACTATCGCAGCAAGCCTAGAATAGTGTGAAACAGTATACAGTATGCAACAAATAATGTTTCAGTGTAGTATGCTACAGTGTTGTCACATGACAAACATTGAGCATTAATTCAGCACAGCCGTCCAGATTGTTACCTTACAAATAAATGTGTTAACCGTTCTTTTTTTTATGCGCAAACCTGAGTGAAAATAATATATTTTCTTCTGACTTTCATCACCAACGGTCTTGATCTAAACCATAAAAATTATGTTTGTTGGTGTAAAGTCAAGTTGATTTGATGAAATCATGTTTTTCCATGTAAAATCAGTTGATTAGATTTTAATTTGCTCAACAAAAAATGTATACTGAAATTTTTTTTACATTTGCTTTATATTTATAGCACTGTCTTCTCCTATTTTGTACTGTTTTTCTGTATGTTCTACTTTGTCTTGTTCTAAAAGCAATTTAAAAAATGTTAACATAAAAATGTGCTTAATGTAACATTATAGCTCCTTACGGGAACAACTATATTTTACTGTATAGAATACTTCAATTATACATAGGTAAAACATTAATAATTATAGCTGGGTTTTCCAAAACATCACAAATAATTCTCTTAAGATTTATGGTAGATAATGTCCTATATTAGGTAAATAGGCTATATAATGCATTTTCACATTATATAATATAGTGAAGACTATGCAGTGTTATTTTACATTTGATCATTCCATTTCTGTACCTGAATACTATTGTTAGACCTACACGAAAAACTTAAAGGGGTCATATGATGCTGCTAAAAAGAACATTATTCTGTTTATTTTATTTGTGTCTGTTGTAGTTATTTGTGCTATTACTTGTAATTTGCTTATTTGGTCGTATTACTCAATGTTCACTTGTCTTCAATAATGTCTTAACTTTATATTGGTTAAGCTAGAAGTTTTTGCTGTGGTATTTAAATGTGTCAAAAATAATGAAAACAACAACTATTTTTATATTATTTATTTTATTGTGGCAGGGCTAGTGAAATTTTTGGCAGCACGATTTATTTTTTATTTTTTTTGCACTGACTTACCCCACTGACTTTAGAGTGATTGATTCTTTTGAAACAAAGCTATTAAAGTCATCTGGTAAAAATTCCTGTATTTTTTTCATATCGCAATATATACTGCAGAAAAACAAAACATCGAAATGTCAGTTTTTTCCAATATCGTGCAGCCATCTACTGCTTATATTGGTAATATCATGTCATTTTCATTTAAAAAGTTTTTGTTTTCCTCCAGGTGGCAGAAATTCAGAAATTACACGCATGTAATCTAACACAATCATCAAAAATTAAACAGCATATAAACCAGAACTGGCAAATGTTACCGAATGAAATGTTGACCCAGGAAGAGGTCTAGGACTGTAAAGCTTTGGGAGTGTTGTTGGAACAATATACTCCATCTATGTTTTGATCATCATTCTGAATCTGATCAAGACTTAGTCTTTGACAAAAATTGGATTTTCTCAGAGTTTAAAACTTTTTTTAATGAAACTTACACACATTCTCAAGTGTTGAAAAAAAGAATGCATGAAGTTAGATTTTTTTTTTTTTAATCTTAAGTAGACTGTGCCTCCCTTGTCTCCCCTGACAAGCTGCCACTGATAAAAAGAACAAAAGCTGTAACACCCATAAAGAGGTATCGAAAGTGAAAGTTACAAGTAAATATAACAGGATTTGTTTGATATCTGTCTCTGTTGATCTATGAAAATCTGAAATAATGTAATTAAAGAGACATTATATAAAGCTTTACTTCCATCTTTGTGACACTCCCTTATGATTTTACATCAGAGGCTACGTTTACATGCAACCAAATAATCCCTTTGTAATCAGATTGACGGCTCAATCGGACAGAAAAACCTTCATGTAAACACCTTAATCGATCCGATTAAAAACCAATTTTTGGTTCAATCGGACTGAATTTATTCCGATTGATGAATCTGAATGTAGTGTTTACATGAACGCTGAATAAAGTGATCGAGTTGATGTGCGTGTTTATATGTCACAAGCTTCAAATCGGAATAGATCTTTTTTG